AGTTTTATTTCTCAAAAAAGAGGTTACATAATAGGCACTATACGTATTTAAAAAAGGGTGCGGTTTCTTTTATTTTCAAAAAGAGCTTACATAATAGGCACTGTATGTATTTAAAATCAAAGAGATCTATAAACATATGAAAATCTTGAAAATTGATGGTATAGATAATGTGTTGCAAGATGCACTAGTTATGAGATTCAAACTTTTTTATTTTTATATTCATACAACTCGATGACATGACGAAATTATCAATTAATGGGTTTTTCAATATTAAACCAATATTTTTGATCGATTTTTGAGATGCATATGTAATTCTACATTTTAAAGTTGCAACCTTATATAAAGTTTTTCCTTTTAAAAAATTAACGGGCCTAAGATTGAAATGAAAACCGTGCAACTTTTGATTCATCACATACGAAGTTGATAATACTCATTGGTCATCGTAAAGTAATCGCAAGTAAATCTTTGTGAAACATATTTGTTGAGTAAGTTATATCTTCTCAAAAGTTGACCTGGCAATTGTTTTTCCGAAATTTGAAAAGTGTATTCGATAGTTTTTCAATAAAAATATTATAATCACTTTTATTTGTCAAATGAAATCAAGTGCTGAAAATGTCTTATTCATTATTACTAAAAACTCTTAAAAGTTTTTGTGAGACTTGTGGGAAATAAGTGATACACTCGGAACAACTAAATTTTACTTATGACAACTAAAAATAATTGTGACCATAAATAATATCATGACATGCAGTCCCTTACTCAATAACAAGAGCGCTCTCTTTATGGTCATAAAATTCATGGACCAACCATTCTATGCTACAGTTGGGGCTGGCCGTGGGCCGGACACCTGGCCTTGTCCAATGGTCCCGACCCTAAAAAAGCAAGGCCTGGGCTACAAACTATGGCACATGGGCTTGGGTTGGGCAAGTGCCGGCTCAACGCTCTCTTCTTTCTCATTTTTTCTTTTATTTTTTTTCATTAAACAGGGTTAGGGCTTGCCCTATGGGGGTAGTGGCCAGGTTAGGGGCAAGGCTGGGCCGGGCTAGCCTTAGCTACAGTAGAGTCCGGATGACTATGATTGGACGATCATGATGACTCATGTTGCGAGGTATTTATGCTATATTTTTGGTGTATGATTTTTTATGTATGCCTAGATTCAACTATATTACCTCAAAAAAAATTAATTATAAAATGTTTATAAAAATAAAAAATAGTGTTCATTCACAGAGCATCTGAAGTGCCTACATTGAATCTGAGCCATATGGTGTAGTTATAGCTTAGACAATTGCTCATTTATTTTCTTTTTTTTATATTACAAATTAAATTAAAAAATTTCTAGAAAGGCAATGAATATACACATTGCAAATTAAATAAATAAAAATCTAGAAAGTGGAGGATATCATTGAAAATTAAACTTAAGAAAAAATATCTAGACTAGGGGTAGAAATAAAGAGATAACTATGGGTTAGAAATAAAGAGATAACTATGGGTTAAAATTTAAACTTAAAAGAGATAAATGGAGAGCAACTTTTAGATAAGGTGTTAAAGAGTGACGAGATGTAGTTTGAATACCGGAAATATATGTAAAAATCTTAAAATATATTTTTATATTTAATTATAAAATTTAAATCTTAAAAAATAGTGTAGATCAAGTAGATCTATGAAAATTTGAAAATCGACGGTAAAAAAATACCTTACAAGATACACTATTCCCTATAATTGAAATCCATTTATTTATGATGTCAATGCATCTTTATGCGGAGATGATGAATTTGAGGATATTTGAGGATCAAAACAACCTTTTCTAATGAAATTTTTGAGATGGGCTCTAATTTGATTGTTTACTCCGTATAATTTGATACTATTAAAAGAGACAGTTATCTTAAGGAGAGATTAGAGGAAAGATAAATTTTCCTAATATGAAAGGATAAACTAAGTTTTGGGATTAAAAGAGACGCAGATTTATCAGGACAGATTAAGCGGAGAGGGAGAAAAATCGTGGAGTAGAGAGAGATTTAATCTTAGAACGAGGAGAGAGAAACTGTGTAGATTTTCTCGTGGATCGTATCTTTTTTAGAGAGACGTTTTAAAACAGAAACAAAGTTTTGAGAGAGAAGTTTCCTTCTTCTAAACCGTGTCTACAGAAGTTTTCTTCTATTTTTGTTTGTTTAGAGAGAGAAAGTAAAGAAAAGAATTCGGGAAAGGGTTAAAGTTTTCCATAATTAGTAGCCGCGGGAGGGTTTAAAAGTGATCGAGAGGAATTCAAAGAGAGGAGAGAGAGAGAGAGAGAGAGAGAGAGGAGGTAC